TTGTGCTGAGACGGTTGTGATTCAAGGTGTATCTTTCAGCTGTTAGGACCCGTAAGCTCCTCTGCATAAGGAGGCACTCTCACTGTTAGATTTTTTTTCCTCTGCAGGATGGTGCAATGGATTTATTGAAAGAACTCAAAAGTATGCCTATGACTCTGGACTTGCTGCAGGTGAGTTGGACAGCTGAAAAAATCCACCAGAGTGAACCAAAAATGTTTAAATGAATTTAATGAGGTTCCCTTTGATTTCTTGCCTCCCTCGAAGCATCAAAATAAACATTGCATCTAGAAAATAGTGCTGAACTGTGGCTTTAGACTCACAGTTAAGTGGTTTTGGTGCCTCAATAAATTAATGCACTCTTGATGAGGGAAGTGTGGGTAGCTACTCAAATCCTTTCAGGGATTTCAAAAAGAGGGAAAAGCAGAATAGAAAGGCCATCATGGGTGTGGTTGTTTAAGTCTTTTAATGGTGATATGTGGGATGCTGTCTGTGGGGAGACTTGAATAGAATAACAATGCAGAGACTAAGATATTCATCCTGGATTTTTGCAAGTTCAACTTTAATTGCCATTTATAGGTAGAAAAGGTATTTGAGGGTGAGCAGAAGCCAAACTCATGTGATCAGTTTGAGTAAACCAAGGACTGTCATCTTGCCCTTCCAGAGCTGGAAGGGGATAATCGTTTTGTGGGTCCCTGGGTACTCTGCATCTTGGTCGTTGCTTTGGCTGATGCTTATTTTTGGTTTTGGTCCGTAACAAATGTCTGCTCCCAAATGATCCATCTGAACATTCCCTTGCAGTCCACCCGCATTGGGATGTCAGTAAATGCACTGAGGAAGCAGAGCACAGATGAAGAGGTGATATCACTTGCCAAATCACTCATCAAGTCTTGGAAAAAACTTCTAGGTAAGAAAATATATCTTTCCTGTCAGATTCAACCTGCTAAATAGCTAATTTCAGCTAGAGATTGAGGCTCACAAGAAAATAAGCAAATTTATCTATTGATTTATATGGAGCATTTCAGCAGTTCGGCTTTTCAGAATGCACCTTCTGTCTTGGGAGTTTCATGTCTTAGCATGCATTCCTCTGGGTTTAGTTCCTGTTGTCAACCCTAAGTATAGCTTTTCCTGGAAAGTGTCCTGGAAGCCTCAGGACTGTTCTGAACATGTACCCGATCATATAATTAGCAGTGTTAGTGCAGAAACTCTAAACGGTGTCTGTGCTCTGAACACTCCACCACGTTTTGGTGTGCATTAAACCAGCATCTGCTGTCATCCTGGTGTAACAGCCTGGAAAGAGAAATGCTGGAATGTGTTTCGGGTGATGGCCTTGTTTTAACACCTTTGTAGGCAAATTCCCCCAGGCTTCTTCGTGCTGGGGAGGCTTTCGTGGTGCTAGACACTTACAGGCAGAAGCTTGTGATTCTGCTTGAAGACTCTTAATGCTGATACAGCCCAAATTAACCAACTTCAAAACTGCAAATAGAGTTCACAGATGTGGTCTTCAGTGGTTACATTTGTGTAGTTTTTTAAAAAACAAAACAAACCCAAGAGTTGTTGGCAGTGCTGAGGCCAGGAAGGCAGCTCTACCTGGGCCCTGCTAACAGGGCAACAAACGTGTCTGCCAGTCTGTGCTACTGAAAAGAAATCCAAACTTGCCTTATTTCTATTTTAAAACTGGTATCTTGTGTAGCTCTGTGAAGTGAAAGAATAAGAACAAATGTGACATGGTGTTTGTTTCAAGTGAAGTGAGTGGCTAGCCCTGATCTGTACCTGGGAACGCCCCATTTCTTGACAGGCTCAATGAGTGCTGGAAGTGCTGTTTTCCTCTCCTACCTTAAGCTGGCATTTTAACACTGCAGCTGTGTTGGCTAGGCTGGCACAGTTTACCTCTTGAGCTGATCTTTTTCTACAGTAAAAATGAAACTTCTCTCCAGGATTGTGCTACTGGCTTTCAGCAGCACTTAGGAAACATGAGAAGTTGGATTCCCAGAAGGGCCTGCCCTTACTGGCCCCTCAAGTGTCACTGGCATGAAATACTGCTAGAAAAGTGGTACTCTGGAGAACGTGATCTAATCTGTGCTCTGCAGCCAAAGGCCCCTCACAAATAAACCTTTGTGATGAGGCATGTCTTGTGAGGAAGCTTATCTCCCAACAAGGGAAGGGGGCTGCTCCCTGCCTTCCTGAAGCCAGGTGAGGGAAACTTGTTTCACCTCCTTTCTATGTGGAGGCAAGTGAAAGGTCTGGAAGTGAGGGAGGCCCCAAAGGCCACCCCTCTCCTATTTTTTTCTGAGGATAACAGTTTGCCTCAGGCCGACTCTGTTGAGTCTCTTGAAGACACTTAATATATGCAGGGTTCTAGTGTAAATACCAATTCTGAAGTCTTTAGCATTCACATTTGCTTTTTCTCTTTGCTTTTGAATATAGATGCTTCTGAGGAGAAAAGTGAGGAGAAAAAGAAAAACCTGTCATTGCCAACATCATCCTCAAAGGAGAGTAACTCGAGAGACCAAAGGTAATACTTCCCTTTAGCCAAAGGTGGTACTTTTAGGTCATTTAAATATTATTGTGGCATCTTGTGTTAATTTTTAATTTTAAGTGTCTGAGCCAGGAATTTGGCACACTCAAATGCCTGGTCAGATACACCAGGAGTCTAGACATCTTCAGTGACCATCTGTGTGGTGTTCTTAATAAAGAAAAACACAACTGTAATGCAGAAATAAACATCTACAAAATACAGTGGCTTTAGTGATTTTTCTTTTTTTCTTTTTTTTTTCTTTTTTTTTCCTTTTGTTCATGTCTTATGACTTATTTTTTATTTTTCCATTCTTGGTTTTGTGTTATTATTATTAATAAAACATTCCTCTGGGTGTTTTGTGTTGCATTTTTATACTTTTGCATATTTCTGACTTTGAGCTCCTGTAGAATAGAGATTATTTTTAGCCTTTGCAGGCTCAGGTGGTGGATGGTAGCGATCCTCATACATCACTGTAGTAAACCTTCCTCTTTTTCTCTTGTCCTCTTGTCAGCAAGTGCCAGTAGAAGCCCTGTTTTCGCTCTGGATTGCTGTCCCCCCATCCAGCAGGTCTGCTGCATGCCTGGCCCTGGCCATGCCTTGAATGTCGCATCCTGTTTCCACCGTCTGCAGCTGCCCTTGCTAAGCCGTGGAGTGGAAGCAGTGTGATCTACAGGGAGGGAGCAAATGCAGGTTTACACAGTCTTGTCCTAGACCCTTTCCAGAGGTGAGACTGTTTTCAGCCTCAGATCCCTGGAGTATTTTGTAGCTTTGATAGTTCCTGAATTTTGCCGGAGGATTTAGAATATTAGTGCTAGATTCCCTCTGCTTTGTAGACTCTCTCTTAGTCACCTTTCCTGTCCCTCCACCTGTTTCTGTGCTTGCTCAGGCCTGTCTCGAGGCTTGTCACTGTGCTCAGAGCCTTCTCACCCGGGCTGCTCTGAAGAGGGCTGCTTAACGCTGAGCTGGAGAACTTCACTTTGTTGCTTGCATCTTTGCCTAGCTCACCTTGCATAGAATAGGAAGACCACAATTCCAACTAACTGTTGCAATGAATGTGTGGAGAAGACCTCCCCGCCAGAAGCATTCAGCTTTGCAGCAACGCGGGGTCCGAGTTGTGTGTGGGGGTGACACAGTGACACTCTGGTGCGTGAGGGTCTTCCTGGGATAAGAGCAGTAGGATGGAGTCTCCCAGCTGCTGTTTCCTTTTGTGCTGTTGAAAAGAGACCAGGGTCTGAGGCTGAAGAGCAGCCAATGATAGCAGAATTTGCTGATAACCTGAGAGAATTGGCCTGGCCACTTCCACCTGGCTTGTGATGCTAACCCCTTCTCTGTGTGACAGGTACCTGATCCCAACAACAGGCTAAAATGCGGACTAGTACCCCCTTCCTGAGGCTGTGAACACGGGAAGGAGCTGCTGTAGGACTGATCAGGGTAGCACTGAGCCAGAGGAGGGTAAGAGCCTTGGTGCTCATTTTCTGTGCACTGGTGGGGCATCTTCCCCTGCAGGATGAGGTGGAAACGTTTGTCTGCTTCTCCTGATGGGAAGAGAAAGTCCTTTCCTTCTGAAGCTCGACATGAAGGAGGAATATTTTGCTTTGCACTTACCGACTGCTCTCACCAGTAGTAAGTGCCTCTGCGAAGCTCGACATGAAGGAGGAATATTTTCCTTTGCACTTAGTGACTGCTCTCACCAGAGCTCTCTGTGTTCATGCTGAGTTAACCTTAAGGCTACTTGTACACCCGTGCCAATGATTCATGCATGGTTGTAAAGGAGGGGTAAGTATTACCGATGTGGCTGATGCTGCTCAAGCCTTTGCAGTTCAAGGAAAGGAGAAGCCCCTGACTGAATCTTTGGAAGAGGGAGTCCAGGGAATGCTAAGCCTAGAGCAAAGAAAGCATGATGCATATCCCTGCGTGTGGTGGGGGTCAGCACTGGTGAGCAAAGCTAGCCGGGTTTGTTTGGACATCTGACTGAATGGCTAAGGCTTGTAGTAATTTAATTCAAAATTATTCAAAGTTAGTTATAGAGGCAACTGCCCCACTATAGCAGTGTGCAGTGGAGCCTTTTGGCTTGTGCCACACACTACCGTGCCTTTGGATATGCTGCAGTTCCTGCTTTATTAGATGTTTTTTTCCTTCTTGATGCTTCCTACGTGTATTCATCCTCCAGTACCTTCTAAATGACAGGACGTGCCCTTGGTTTTCTGGGAGAAACAGGAGCAAGGGGATTAGCACAGACGCAGAGGAGGAGGGTGGCTCCTGGTGTCAGGCTGTTGACCCAGGCTCTCCTTGCAAAGCCAAAACTGCTTATTCTCCAGTGGTGCAAAACAAGCTACTAATCTGCCTTGACAAAAAAAAATAATTTATTAGCAGTAAAGAGCCTTTGGCTTGGCTCTCCAAAGCACAGGCTGTAATGAAGGGAGGCTGATTCATTGCCTGGAGCCTGATGGCCGGTTCAGCTGAGGTTGCTACCAGGGCCCAAAAGATCAGTTTGTGTTCTCATAGCTCAGCCTCTCAGCCTCATAGATTTTGGCTGGGGCTTCCTCTTCTGTCAGGGAGAAATATCTGAGCAGCTCTTGGCCTGAGCCTTGCCTGGCTCTGGAGCGCAGATGCAGGAGTCCTCGCGTGGTGCCGGGCGCTGCCGGAGCTGGAGGCTCCGTTGGGTTCCAGTATTTTACACCTGCCTTCTCATGGGCTGTGTCTAGTGTTTCCCTCTCTGGCAGTGTGAACTTTCTCTTTTCCAGCATCTTCTTAAGCCTTTCTTAGGAGTTTTGGGATTTGTGGCCCAAATTCTGCTCTGCTGCCTGTTTCTCTTCCCTGGGTTCTGCCTGTGGGCCTCGGCTGGTTCTTTACCACCATTTTGCTCTGGCATTTTTCTCTTTTTAACACATAAGCTTCGGTTATCCGGATAGACTGAAAAGTTCCTTCTCTTAACAGGAACAGCATGAACCACAAGGATTTCCTGAAATAAGTCTTCTCAGTCCGTTTGAGGTCTATTTTCCAACTATTCTAATTATAAACTTCTAAAGCCTAATAAATAACTTTCTATACGGTCCGTGGAGTGGCCCAAGTCTGTTCTCTTGATTCAGGAGGCATCAGTTGTCCTGTCAGTGTCTGACGGGGCTTGAATGGAATTTGATTCAACCCGCCCGCTCCAGTCTTTGGATTCCGCTTTGATTCACTCATCCGCTGTCTTGCAGTATTTGGGGGTACCTTGGGCCATAAAGATTCCTGGAATAGACTCCAGGGACTTCTCTTTAGAAATAGGCAAGAAACAGCTTTCCTGTCCAGTGGAAATTTGCGATTTCAAAGCCTTTCCTGTGCTGTAGCTGAACGAAGCCTGGTGCGTCAGAGTATTTTTAGTTATTTCGAAATGGCCATCGACCGGGTGCTGAGGACACTCAGGGGGAGGTTCCGCTCACCAGACACCTCCAAGCAGAAGTTCTTCAGTTTCCTTCAGCCTGCTTGAAGCTTTTTGAGATGCCATGTATGTAGATGAATATTTCTTTACTTATTACCTAATAGAAATGGGAAAAACTATCTATTTTTAATGTATTTTTAATTTTTTTCCTCCCCTGCCTCCAGGATACAAACATCCAAATATCTAAGTCAATTGGACTTGTGGGAAGAACCTTCTTGAAAAATCAAATATTACTTGTGTAAATCTTAGTTTAAAGCCTGGATTTAAGTATTGATGCTTGGTATTGTGGCTCTGTTTCCTGCATGTTAGGATGCTGGTCAACTTGGTGCTTTTTACGTTAACTGTCATAAATAAGATGCGATGAAGGCCCTTGGTGGGGATTTACACTTAGTGTTTTGCTCTGGGAGACCTTAGCCTTGTCATTGCTTCCAGAATGAGATAAAGAACTTGGGAAGTTAGAAGAGCTCTCAAGAAGGCACCATCTGCCACTGCCTTCCTAGGACATCATGAACTCTGTCCAAGCTGTTCCTAAGCTGCTCTTTAAAAACCCTTAAAAAAAAATCTTGAGTAAGACGTTTCTATAGCTGCAATTTGAAATCCCTTCTCAACCAAAACCTGTGTTGCTTCAGCTTAAGGCCGTTGCTTCATGTTCTATCTTCAGCAAACAGCGAGGATGTTTTCCTACCATGGCCCTTTGCAATAACTTGGCAAGTTTTTCAAGACCTGGGTTTTCATAGTCTTTTCTGCTGTAAATCACCCCCATTTTTTTCAGTCTCTTCTTTTGGCTTAGGTTGTGTTTTTTAGGCTTTTTGCATTTGTCTTTTGGAAAGTCTTATTTTTCTCCAAGCTATTTCATACAAGAGAAGCATTAGCCTTGATTTTTAGAAGAGTTTTTCTGAATTGGGTGTGATTTGCTGTACATACCCCATCGTGCACTATAAAGTGTCTGTAACCTCTGCATAGCTTCTTAGGTTCGAGAGTGCTGGTAGTGATTTGTACATCCAAACAGGAGGTGCTCGTCCTGGAACTGGTTATTTGCAAGCTAAGTTGTTCCTTATTATTTTATTAATGTGCAGTGCGAATCCTACAGAACGTTTTTAGTTATTTGCCCACCTTACTAAATTTGTGCCTTAGCAGCTTCATGCAATGCTGACTAGTAAAACAGATGACAGTAAAAACTGGCGGTCACATCCCAGCCTGATGGTGACTGTGAAGCTACTTGGGTCTTCAAGGAGGCATTTCCAGGATGGCAGGGGTGAAGTATCGTGGGTTTCCCTATTTCTTCCTTTTTGTCTGTTACTGCATTAATATTACCCAGACACTGCCCATAAATGCTGTGCATTTTATGGCCCAAACACCAAAGACAGAGCAACCTCTGCTGAAAAGCTTGCTGTTTTGCTGCCTAGATTTAAGAGCTCCATAAAATCATCTGGGAATCATAATAGGCCTTTTTTTCTTTCCATTTTTTGTGAGGTTAACTGACTCTCTGTGCAGATGTTGGGCTTTATGGGCAGGACGTCTCCATGCTGTAGGTGCACCCTGAGGTCCCCTGGCACACGGTGTCACATGGGGCAGGGCTTCCTCGTGCACTAACTGGGCTGCAAGTAGGTGCCCTAGGCCTCAAGCTGGTTCCCCTCTGGCAAACGACCTGCCTGACGCACAGTCACGACAGGCAGATGTTTGTGCTCCCTTGCAGTGCCCACAATTGCTCGCAGGTGGCAAACGCAGCTCTTTTTTTGCAAGTGAAGTGCTGTTTATTTGTCTTCTGTCGGCCTGGCACCTGCATGTGGTCATGCAGGGATGCTCTTCTGCAAGAGGAGGAATCAAAACTCTCGTTCAGAGCCACAGGGAAAATAAAAGCCCCTCTGATTTGTAACACTGTGTTTTTGAAAAATAGCAGAGCTGAAGGAGCCGTTTTCTTTCTTATTCCTCGCGTGGAAGCTGCGGGGCTGCTTCTTGGCGGCTCCTGGTGCGGGAGGGGACCCCATTGCACCCTCTGCTCGCAGCCCTGGGGGGCAGCAGGATGCCCTCCGTGCTGGGCAGAGAGCCAGGGGCTTTTCTGTTGGGCCCTTCTCCTTCCCCACTGCTGGCTTCTTGGATGGGAGTTGAGGAACCCGCTGAGATTAACCTGAGTGCTGCCTTGCTTCTGGGAGAATATATTTGCTGTATCTTGGGAAGCAGGAGGGACAGGACGGACTGTGCGGCTGCGATAACAGACCCAGCGAGTGCTGGTGCTCATGGAAGTCCTAAGCCCAAGTTCCTGACAGTGCCCAACGGCTCCATCATGTTTTCAGCTGATATCCAGCGGTCCAGTAGTTGTGACGGGGTTATTTAATGGATTAAAGCACCAGGGTGTGCAGAGGAGCCTGTACCTGCATTGATGGTGGTGACTGCTATATTGTGCTGTGTGCTCGTTTAGGGCATGTGTCTTTGCACTGTTTCCTCTGACTGGTTTTGTGTTATAATTAACAGGGTGCTTGGCCACATGCCTGCTGCTCCCTTCACTGCTCTCAGTGAATCGAGGCGTTCTGATGGGTGAAGTTTCTCTTTTAGCTCCAACAAAAGGCAGGAGCCTCCGAAGACCCCGACAACCCCCAAAATCACCAGCTTCCCTCCAGCGCCCGTCACCTGCGACGCGGTCCGCAACAAATGCAGAGAGATGTTGACAACTGCTCTCCAGGCTGATGGTAAGTGAGGGAGGCACCAGCGTGTTGGCTCCTGACACTCTGGTGCCTCTGGCAGTGGGATCTCTGCTCAGCTCAGTCCAGCCACGGGTCATCCCTGTGTTAGATTTGCTGGCACGGCGGCATTTCCAGGCACTTGGATAGGAACAAGCATTGAGCTGCACCATGGCAGTGTGTCAGGCGATGGCTGCTAGGACCTGTGTGTGCAAACGGGAGTGCAGGAGCCAAGGAATCCCAGAATCCCAGGATGGGTGAGGTTGGAAGGGACCTCTAGGGATCATCTAGTACAACCCCTCTGCTCTAGCAGGGATACCCAGAGCCCAATGGCACAGGAGGGTTTGGAAGATCTCCAGAGAATACAGGTTCAGAAAGTCATCATTCCTAGCCTTGCTGAGTGTGTGTGTGTATATATATATGCTGCATTGCATACTTGGTGTAACTCTTAGCAAAACCCTTGCTCTGTGGAGCCTGAAAAATAGTCCCTTCACCTCTGTTGCTGCCTTTAACTGAGCCCTGCTCTGCTCTGCCTTCTCCTGCCTTATGGTATGGGTTAACATAACCAATGTCCAAGCTCTTACAGTTCCTGTGCTCTGTGTGGTGCTGTTTAACGCACGAAAAGAGCTGTGTAAAGGAAAGGTAAAGTCAGATGGAGCACGGAGCTGAGAAGGGAAACACAGGCTCAACTCCAACACTATATATTTTCAGGCCCCATCACTTGATCTGAGTAGAGCTACTTCTCACTGACACCAGTGGCCACTGAGAATCAATTCCTGACCCTATGTGCTTGACTTCAGCTATATCAGGGATACACCGGATTTTGGAAAACTGTGTTTATTGAGTTGGGGGGTAGGTTCTTTGCATCTGGCCCAGTGCAGTCTATCTAGCAGGGAGGCAGAGGGCATAAACTGGCTGGATTTGTCTGTTTTTATCATTGGCTTTTTCAGAAAAGTTGAAGGATACCTAGAGCAAAGGCCACGATGCCGGTTGATGTAAATCAGAATAACAAACTCTGTAGATTTGTATCTCAGAAATTTGGATGCCTGGTTGGAACTCATTGACCTCCCGTTCTCTTGTCTTGCAGATGACTATGTTGCCATTGGCGCTGACTGCGAGCACATAGCAGCCCAGATCGAAGAATATATCCTTGCTATGTGGAGCCTTTCAGGGGTCTGCAGGAGTGCAGCCCCCAGGCCAGGAAATTAATGAGGACAAATGGGCCAAGCTGCTTTGTTTGTATGAATATTGCAGTGCAGCTCTGCTTGTCAGGGCTCTGGGTCGGCTTCCAGCTCTGCCTGGCTCCGTCCTGGATCACTAAGGAAACATGAGCAGGGTGCTGGGAGCTCCAAGCCCCTGCTGGGGTGATTGATGCTGCTGCTTCCTTCCCGCTCTCACCAAATGGATTTTCAGGCCTCAATTTCTCTATCCTGCCAAAATGCTGCTTCCCATTCCCAGCTCTGCTTCCAGGTACATGCAACTTCCCTCTGCCTCCCTACTGAGGAGAGTTTGCTGACGTGGGGCAAAAGTGATGAGGAGGATGGAGCAGTGGGGATCAAGTTGCAGGTGGATGTGAGATAAGCTGGGAAGTTGCTGGCTATAGGGGCTGTGGGGCAGGAGGTGCAGCTGGATTCCGTTAGCAGAGAGTTTTGTGGCTGCCTTGCTGCATACCTGAAAGTAAAGATTATTTCCAGTACAGGGGAAAAGCCCAAAGAATTGATAGCCCCTGGACTCTGGGATTGCAGAAATGTGTTCTCAAATCCAGTGTCACCCTCCCAGAGCAGACGCTGTTTTGGGATCCCAGCACCCTGTTGGATGTCCTGGCAGCGGCGACAATTCCCGCTGCTTGGATTCTCCGGGTTGCTTGCACGCTCCTTGACTGCCACGCACGCATATACCAGGACATCAAGAACACCGACATGAAGTACAAAAACCGCGTGAGGAGCCGCATCTCGAACCTGAAGGACTCCAAAAACCCTGAGCTCAAAAAGAACGTGCTGTGTGGGGCCATTACCCCGGAGCAGATCGCCGTGATGACCTCGGAGGTGAGGAAGTCGGAGCGAGTTTGTCTCCTCCAGGGGCTGTGTCACAGGGATGGGGTTGAAGCTGGGACTTGGTCTGCTGCGGGGGCTGCAATGGGATTTTCCATGTGGAGAGGAGCCTGCTGGGACTTCAGATTATGAAAAGGGGCTAGATATTAGGCAACAACCAGAAAGGAAAGGCTTCTTGCTTTGTTACCTATCCCTTAAGCCATCCCACCCTGTCGCTTCTTTCCCCTGCAGTGGATGTGGTGGTTAAACTGTGGACAGATGTGATTTTATTGCCTTTTTTTTTTTCTTTTTTGAAAGGAAATGGCCAGTAACGAGCTGAAAGAAATCAGGAAAGCCATGACGAAAGAAGCAATCCGGGAGCATCAGATGGCCAAGACGGGAGGGACGCAGACTGACCTCTTCACCTGTGGGAAATGCAAGAAGAAGAACTGCACCTACACCCAGGTGGGTCTTGTGGCTCCTACTGCCCCCAGCACATGGTCTCCGATGGTCCTGAGCTCTGACTGCTCTGTGTCAGGCCCTGCAGCACAAGACAAATGTTGACACTCGTGGAGAGCAGCTTTCTGCACATTCAGGCCTTCTGAAACACGGTGCTGCTGATTTTGTGCATATCTCTCCCTTGAAGCTAACAGAAATTATTTTGTCCATTTGTGCAACTGCTGATTTGCATCTCTAAGAGCAGGGATTTTGCATCACCAGCCAGCAAGGAAGCTGTCAGGAGCTGATAGATGAGCAGCTGGAGAGAGCTTTGCACTGGAAGCAGGTGCTGGGAAGGCCTTAAAGAAGTGTGGAGATTTGGGGAAGGAAGAGGAGTGGGTAGTATAGAGCAGAGAGACTGCAGGGACAAAGGCAGGCATGTGCGTGGTGCAAATTAAGAATGCAGACAGACTGCAGTGGATAAATCCTGCCTATTTAAAATCAAGCAATACACACAAACAGAACATTATAGTAAGGATAAATGAAGTCATAGAGCAAGCAGGAAGAGAGGACTGGTTCTCCTTGATGGGCAGCTGCTCCAAACCACATGCACTGCCAGGGCTTTTTGGTTCCCTTGTCCTCTCCAGCCCCCTGGAGATCAATGTGCCTTTGCTCCGAGTCAGATTTTCAAAACGTGCAGATATCAGAAAAGCACCAGGGACCACGCTTTTGCCCTGCTCTGTTTGCTGAGTAGATACAAACTGGGCATGCAAGTGCTGAGTGAAATCCCCTAACAAGCTGGGTTGTAATGTGCAAGCACAGATGTGAGCCAGGCAGCTGACAGGGATTTTCCTTGCGCTGGAGAGCAGTGTTGCATCCCAAAGGCTGGCTCTGCCCCGTGTCCCTGGAAGCTGGATGGAACTGGCCTGTCCCTCGGCTGCATCGGCAGCATCTGGGACCCTGGCCTCACTTGAAGTGCTGGAGCAGGTCAGGGTAGGGTCTTCTAGATGTAAGTAACAAAAGGTTTTCTGTATTTTTATTAGTTTTCCAATGAAAAGATAATCACCAAATGTTGCCTGGTGACAGAGAGGTTCTAAATTTCAAGTAGATGAACTGGTGTTTTTGAAAACATTCAGAACTAAGCACTGACATCGGGTGAGAATTACAGAATTCAGCTATCCAGCATGCTTGCAAAACATGCTTAATTTGCATCCTGCAAATACTGCGACTCTGCACATTGGGTAATTACACACACAGATCCCTATAATTACCCCTCAGCATAGTTCTGCTGCCTGATTTTTGCAGGGAGTGCGAGTATTTTCAGTGTAAACCTGGTGCCTTGTGGTATTTAAATGCCATGAAAATCTGATTTTTAGCAAAGTATGTGTGTCTGGCAAGAGCTGGTCAGAGGCAGCAGTCACATCTGGGTTAAATATCAGAGCTCCTTAATGGCTCAAACACAAAACAGGCTAGAAATGTGCAGAACCTGGTAAGTGTGTTCCTGGGAGGCTGGGATGTGGGGCTGGTATGGAAAAGGGAATGACTTGAGTGCTTTTTTACGTGGTGCAGTTGGAACATGTGCTTGATGGGCTGAGAGTTTTGCAGTCTTGGAGCTGACTGCAACCAGTGCCTGGGAATGAGGCGCAGAGGGCGAGGGGGGACATCTCTGGTGGCCTTTCTGTGCCTGCTGGGTAGCCCTGAGGCCCCCAACAGTGGCCTTTCATTACTGGAGAGCTGAGCTGCTCCTGGCTGTACCCAGTGGTGACTGGGTGCCAGCAGGCAGCTGCTGAGGCTCTTATCTAACATGTTGTTCATGCTTAAATGATCTAAACAAACATTCTCAACAGAATGTTTGGTTTTGTTTCTAATCCCGTAGCCTGGCTTAGCTACAGGATTAGAAAGTCTCCTAGCACCTATGTATATGGATGTATATTTGTGTGTAAAACAAAAATCTGGGTCATTTTACATGTAGGCTCCTTTGGCCTTGCCAGACCTGGGTTCTCCACGATCCCTGCCCATGGCCAGCGTGGTTCCCCGGTGGCCGGAGGCTCCGGGAGCTCCTGCCCCTTGGCTCCCATCCCATCTTTCCTCCCGCAGGTGCAGACCCGCAGCTCCGACGAGCCCATGACCACGTTCGTCGTGTGCAACGAGTGTGGCAATCGCTGGAAGGTAGCGCACCAAGGATATTACTGGCACTGAGGGGTCTTAGGGGAGCTGCACCCACGATCCTGCTGAGAGCTGCTGTCCTCGGAGGTGCTTGCCCAACACTGACACTGCCCTGGCGAGGGATCCTTCCTCCCGGCGCAGAGGCCAGAGCTCCTGGGTTCATCCCGTCTCTGCAGCCAGCCGGGCTCATGTCTCACTTCATAGAATCATAGAATGCTTAAGGTTGGCAGGGACCCCTAGAGATCATCTAGTCCAACCCCTGCACACGCAGGGTCACCTAGAGCACGTGGCACAGGACTGCGTCCAAGCGGGTTTTGAAGATCTCCAGAGAAGGAGACTCCACAACCTCTCTGGGCAGCCTGTTCCAATGCAGGGAGCTTCCACTTTCTCATCCCCTGTCTCCCTGCTGCAGTCCCCTGTTCTGTCATGAGCATCGTGGTGCTTCTCATGCTCCCCATGCCCCTCCAAGGTGGTGGCGAGGACAACGTTTAGGATTCTAACCCTATGTGCAGAGAAGGTGGACGTGAGCAGAAGTCTCACCACCCAGTAACAGTGGGCAGAAATGGCAGCACTGCAAAGTGCCAGAGCCCAGAGGTGCAAAGGGGAGCTCTGTGCAGCCCCTGCACTCTGCCCAAGCCCCTGCCAGCTTGAGAAAGGAGCCCGTCACCTGGATCCCCACCTTCCTGTAGGCAACCAGCGCACGACCTGCACCTCCCCGCGGCAGCCAGGTTTCTAACAGGGTTTAAACTCCCTTCTCTTGCAGTTCTGCTGACAAGTGCCATGGCCCGAGAGCGGCAGCCAAACGCAGAGCAGAGCGCAGCCTCCATCCGCCGGCGCCCGCGGCAGTTGTGTTGTGTATCCCAAGTGAGTTTGCTTTGTGTCCCGCACCGAGAGCAGCTGCAGGGAGCCCGGCCTCTCTGCTCGGGCCTAGGTGGAGAGCCACAGCAGTGGGTGGACAGTTTAGCAGGAGAGCTCACTAAACACACTTAGTCGTTATTTTCTCATCTAAGCGAGTATGGTAACGTTTTCTTCCAAACTAATATTAAACATTTTTGTCAGTTTCTGACTTTTATTCCGACTGTGGGCAGACAGCACTTGGCATCTGTGGCACAGGGTGGCCAGTCTGTGCCCAGATGGGTGAGGACTGGGCAGTGCTTGGACTACCAGAAAGCAAGAAGTTGCTTGTAGGTGTTCTCTCAGTCACCGAGACTTGCTTTTAATCAGCTCATGAGCCACAGAGCACTGGGCTGGGTTGGCAGAACTAGCTTTGCTCAGCCACGTGGAGCAGACCTGTTGGTGGCACACAGCTTTTGGGCCACAGATTGGCTGCTGCTCCCAAGCCCAGTCGGAGATGAGGAGCATTCCGTTGTCTTTGCACTGGTTTAGTCATTTGGGGCTGGGTTCCTTGTGCGTGACACACACCTGGTGGCCTTGGAACACCGACAGCACAGCCTGCTGCGAAGATGGGATCGAGGACACGTTCTCCAGCATGTAACAGACTAGAAACAGGGTGACATCGCCACCAAAAAACTGAAGGGTTGGTACTGTGGGGCAGGAAGGAGCGCTAGGCGCAGACCCGGTGAGGTGGGCACTTCCCAGGGCTCCTGCCTCCATGCATGGAGCATCACGGAGCTGAGGCTCCCTTAGCACCTCATTGGGAACAGGGAAGGTCAGGGATGGGCTGGGACTTCACTGTTCTTGCTGGCCAAGTGTCTCACCTTGCCCAAGGCTGCTCCTGATCCAGGGAACCTGGGGACAACCCTAATTTAGCCAGAAACCACCAATAATGAAGCAGATGGAGGGAATTCACTGGCCAGCGAGAGTGTTAAAAGGGAATCTTAGAGAATTCCCTGTTTTTGTGGCTCTGTTCCTGGCCTGGCTGCTGAAAGGTGGGCTTATTTTTGTGAAGGACCTTGCAGAAGGGCTAGGGGGAAACGCTTGAAATGCAGGGAACTTCCCAGCAGTCTTGAGCTGGAGGAGACTGGGATTACAGAGGTCAGTAGGGGCTGTTAGAACTTAGCTCTGCAAACGGATGAGGTCTGAAGTGAGCCTGGAGCTGGTGCCTGCAAGGAGGGAGATGAGGAGGAAGGGAGCCAGTAATAGAACAAGACTCCAGTGTGACCTTGGGGGTTCCTGCAGGGCCGGATGGTCTGCGAGGGGGTACCAAGCCGCTGGCAGAAAGCTCTCTTTCCTCAAGGCAGTTTCCATGCGATAATTCCAGTCTCTCCCCTCTCTTCCAAGCTTCCCAGCCCTTAACGGGCTGTTCCGCACGGCCTTCCAGGGCCCCGGGGAAGCCTCAGAGCTTGAGGCAGCCCTGGAGCCGTCCTCTGCCCCTCGGCTCTTGCTCACACCTAGTGCAGCAGCACTCGCAGTCACACCTGGGGCGCTGCTTCCCCCGCTCCGGAGTGAAAAAACTAGTATTTCCACTGGCTTTTCAGCATGCCAGGGAGCAGACGTTCCTGAGGGCGCTGTGAGGTTTGGAGAGGAGCAAGCAGCCACATGAAAGCGAGGGCAAACGCGCTCGCGGCCCCTCGGAGGCCTGGGAAGCTCCTCTGGAGGCTGCGATCCCGGAGGGATCCTTTCCTCAGGGGTTTGGCTTTAAAGGCTGCGGCCAGCGCGCTCAGGAAGGGGAGATCCAGGGATGCGACACCTCGGTGAGTCCCACGAGCGCAGCTGGCGATGGGAATAGTCAAGCAGCCTGCGGAGGGGACAACGTCCTCACAGCAACACTCGAGAGGAGCTTGGGGCTCTAACCCCAAAACTGGCCACTCTCCTTGGGAGCCCTGAGCAGGAACCAGGTAATTACCAAGTTGTTTCCTTCCTCCTCGCATTGCTGTAAGGGGGGGGTTGCATTGGGGTGCAACCAGCTGGCGATTCGGAATTACCTACGGAGCAGAGATCCAGAATTGGAGGAAGCTTCTCCAAGGCCAGGGAAAAGTGGCCTTGTGGCATCTTCCCGTGCAGCCCTGCCTTGTGTCCTCGGCCATCAGGGCTAGCACAGCCATTCATATCCCTCCTAAAATACAGGGAAGCGGCTTCTTGGCTGCTTTAACGTCTGCTTGAAACCCAGAATCGCTGCCCTGGGTTTTCAGCAGCTTTTCCAAGCGGGACGTGGGCTGCTCTCCCCAGCAGCCGCGGCAGCGGGACCGGCCTGCGTCTTGGTAACAACCAAGTAATAAAAATTCCAGCATTCCTGGAGAAATGAACTATCTCTGGTCTCTCTCAAAAAATACATTTCTTTGAGTTGTATTTCCAGCTTGGCAAGCGAAACTAAGTTTACTGACATGAATACCCATGCCATCACACCACTAGGAAGGAAGGAAGGAAACAACCCAAATGAGGAGGAGAATGTGTTTAAAAAAATCTTCAGTAAAAAGTACCAGTGCTCCTTCTCTTCCCCCCGCCGACTTCTCTTCCCTCTTCCCTCCTGCTTTGAGGAAAAAAGGCAGGAAAGGGAAAAGGGGTGACGGGGATGACACCCCGGGCTGGTTTGGGTCGAGCAACCGGCCACTAAACAGTCCCACCGGCTGTACCAGAATCCCGGGACACCCCGTATCTTCCCTGGGACCTTCCCAGGTCGTGTGGAGCCCGGCTGGGATGCGGCTCCGTGCCGAGCTCTTCCAGAGGGAAGTGACGGGCAGGAGGGGGCTGTCGCTTTGGGCATCCCGGCTCCCTGGGAGCTCCTGCCAGAGGGAGCAATGACCACGGGGTGGGATTTTCCCCCCAGCTCCTGTTTTTTTCCCCCATTCCAGGTTGCTGGCGTGGGGCAGATGGCCAGGGGTATCCAGAGGGATGCAGCCCTGACCCGGTCCTGCTTCCCGAGCCCGCGTGGCAAACAGACGGAGCGGCGGAAACCTGACGAGCTTTTATATGTACACGGACGCCTGTGACCCCCCGCCCATCCGTAAAAGCCAACAAAAAAAAGCAATTAAAATAAAAAGTTAAAAAAAAATCAAAACAACAACAGTCA